ACTTAGATCCATTTGGTATTGATTTTAGAGTTCGATTTCTGATGGTCATACAAATATATAATTTTTCTAGGTGTCTGGTTTTCCAATTATATTTCATTAAGATATTGGTTTTAAGTTTTTGACACTAATTAATTAAAGTAATTCTTTTATGTCTAGATTTATTAATATTACAAAAATAAATTAATTTAATTAATTACTTTTCTACTCTATGATTATGCTATTATTCTGTTAAATTTATAAATTTTAAGATTTAATGGATAACTGATTTTCATAAAAATACAACTTTCTGGTTGTCCACTTATTTGATTGACTAGTCAGATTTGATAAATATGTTCTTAATTCTAATGTTATAAACTATACTAAGGTGCTGAAAGTTGAGGGGTCTTGCATGGTATTTAATTAAACCTAACATGAACTACCCAATTGGGTTGTAACACAGCATCACTCGAGGTTAGTATAGGTTAATATCATGTCACCAAGTTACTATTGCACTTAGGCCTGAAGGGGAAATATTTTACCTAGTACGTAGTGTGATATACGTAGCTAGGACTGAGTTAATGTTTATATATGGGAACATTATTTTTTGACATAGCTAGAATTGATGCTTTATACTATAAATGGTATATCGAAAAAGTCATCATCTTGGAAAACTAAAATCGGGATTGGGAAATTGTGATGATTCATCGAAATTGGGAAGCCATGATTTGGTTGCATGGGAGAAATTATAATCACAACTATTACCCACTTATTATTCACATATTCTACGATATTCAGTCGATCCATTTTCATTATATTCTCATTATAATTTCTTTAAAAACTGAGAAAGAGCTTTGGTTTGCAGGTACTAACTTATGTAACATACAACTGCTTGAGTTTGCATGAATTGAATCCCAAAACACATACTGGGCAGGTTTAAACATATAGGAGTGACAGGACCACACAGTGACAAGTTTCATAAAATCCACTCCCACGGCATCCTTTGGGACTATACTATAGTGCCTGCAAATACCAAATATTGGGTGTTAGATCGCTCTAGATGTTACAATACACAAAGTTTCATTCATAAATTTCCTAGGATCCACAATTATTACTTACTTAATATCCACAGAATCTGCAGGGATAACTTATAATCACTTGAAAACTGATATAAAATGGGTTCTTGATTTACCTTGACAAAATCTTGAATCCTTAGCAACCGTAAATCTTGATAAAGACCAAGCCCAAACTGATTCCTTCTTGAAAGGTTGCTATAGTAATTGACAAGCATATCGTTGCTTCCCGTTACAAGAAAAAATGCCTCTCGTTAGGTCTTCACTGAAAGATTGTCCACCTTCTCAAGCGCCTCTACCATACCCTTAGAAAGTAACAACGGATTGCTTCCATAGCAGTAATAAAGATAGCATAGCTGTAGACAGGGGCAGGGCCTGAGACGAATTATATATAATAAAGACGGGAGTTGCTTTGATTGATTTATTGCGATAGCTTATCGATGCTCATTGCGGTGAAAGGTTTCCCGTTGGGGTTTCCGACTCTCCTGGTCTCCACCTACTTGTGGAAAAGGTAGGATTCCTTGATATTAAGGTGTCAAGGCAACCATTGCCCCAAAACCTTTGTTCCACTCGACCGTCAGGGAGTACTACTCAAGCTCCAAAAAATCGAGAAGGACCGCCAGCTTCAAGGGGCTCCTTTCTCTCCATTCAAACTGCCTAGGTAACGATAGCTTCCGACTTCCTTTTCTCTCACTTACAGGACAAGAATAGGAAGAATTTCCAGCAATTCAATTCATTGATTTATCTATCTATCGGATTAGTAGCTCAAGTACCAGCACCTGCAGATGAAGCGCAAACCCGATCCGATCCATATAAAGGTTATGGCAAGCAAGGACGGACTTTGACGAGGGGGGTCTTATTAGAGCCTTTTTCCGAAACGAAAATGGAAAGCCCATTGGTGATTTCTTCGATCCTTGGTATCGGTGTCTTGGGAAAGAATCTTTCCTTTTCTTTCTTTTATTTTGAGTTCGCCACGAAAAAGCGTATGAGATCTGGGATTTCCACCCTATCCCACTCCTGAGAATGGCTTCATTCCACTCAACTTCCTTAATTTCTCTGACACCACCTTTGAGTTTGTCTATGTAACTTAAGGTCGTATGGATGTTTCATTATTGGAATGGAATTGTATACAGCATCTGTAAGATCATCATATCCAGAACCTGCTGACCCAAAACTAATCCCACCAGTACGAATATTTTCATTTGTCAACTCTGGATCAAGAAATGGAGGAGCAGTCTCCTTTAACCCTAATGCAGATGCCAAAAAGTCTTAAATGAGCTTGCCATCAGAAAACCTTCTCGTGAGAATCTAGTTGGGAAATGACTATCCATATAGGGCATGTTTTGCTTTGAGTGGGGTAGTTATGTAGTTGTGATTACCAGTGTTGTTGTGTATGTAGCTTATATAGAGTGGAACATAGGTTTTTTTTTTTTTTTTGATCAAATAGGTCGATGCCGGAGCAGAGCAAAGTGGAGTGAGGAGAGCGTAGTGCACCGAACGGAATGGAGTGGAGCGATGTTTAATTCACTGTCTGGCTACTATGGACACTAAATATGTTGGGGTGCAGGGGCAACGTCCTCGTAGTACGATATAGGGGGGATTTTTTTGTACGAGCCTTAAAGTCTTTAATGGGTTTTGCTAGGGTTAGTAAAAATAGTAATGTTGTAACCTTATTTTTTATACTAAATAAAATTATCTCCGATTCACTCTCATGGATATAGGCACACCGCTGAAACACGTAAATACTTGTGTTGATTTCTCTCTTTCATTTATTTATTATTACGTGTAAAATTCAACAACTGGTATCAGAGCCAGATTCGGATGACGAGTTCTTCGATTGTAAAATTCGATGTGATGAAGTTTGATGGATCTGGGAATTTTGGATTATGATAGCGAATGGTGAAGGATTTGTTGGCGCAACAAAGGATGGTGAAGGCACTATTTGGGAAGAAGCCAGGGAATACGTTAAATGCCAATTGGAAAGAGCTTGAGGTAAGAACAGTTGGTACAATTCGACTTTGTTTGGTGGACGAGATCGTGTATCACGTCATGGACGTTGAGTCTCCGACGGAGGTTTGGAATAAATTGGACAGTCGTTATATGTCAAAGTCTTATACGAACAAGCTACATCTGAAGCAGCAGATGTACGAACTCAAGATGTTAAAGGGTACAAATCTGATTCAACACACCAATGTGTTCAATCAACTTAGCATCAATTTATTGCGACTTGAAATCAAATTTGATGATGAAAACAAGGCAATGATTTTGTTGTACTCTCTTCCTCCTTCGTACGACCACCTGGTGACCACGTTAACGTGGGGTAAAGAGACTCTCAAATCGGAGAAAGTCACATAACGTTGAGTCTCCGACGGAGGTTTGGAATAAATTGGACAGTCGTTATATGTCAAAGTCTTATACGAACAAGCTACATCTGAAACAGCAGATGTACGAACTCAAGATGTTAAAGGGTACAAATCTGATTCAACACACCAATGTGTTCAATCAACTTAGCATCAATTTATTGCGACTTGAAATCAAATTTGATGATGAAAACAAGGCAATGATTTTGTTGTACTCTCTTCCTCCTTCGTACGACCACCTGGTGACCACGTTAACGTAGGATAAAGAGACTTTTGAATTGGAGGAAGTCACATCAGCCCTGTTGGCCTACAACTAGCGAAAACTACGTACCGGTAAAAGTTCACAGGGAAAAGGGCTGATCGTAAAGGACTACCAAGATTGTGGGAGAAGGACATGGGTGGTCCTTACAAAGGGAACACGAGATCAAAATCTAGGAATCAAAATAAGAAAAACGTCAAGGGTTACAAATGTCATCAAATGGGCCACTTTAAGAAAGACTTCCGAATAAGAAGCAGGGTGATGAAAGGAAAGGTGATGGGTCCTTAAAACTCAACTAGTTTTGTAGAAAGAGACTAGAATTCTGGAGATAGAGACATGCTATCAGTCTCTGCAGGTATTTTAAAAAATTACATGACTGTTGGGTACTTGATTCAGCCTGTTCATATCATATGTGACCTCATCGAGATTGGTTTAATTCATATCGTCCAGGTAATTTTGGATCTGTTCTGATGGGTAATGATACATCATGTAAGGTCATTAGAATGTGGTCCATAACATTTAAAATGTTCGATGTTTATTAAGGGCCTTTGAGGATGTTACGCATGTACCAAAGTTGAGAAAGAACCTAATTTCTTTAGATACTTTAGACACGAATGGTTATTCTTATAAGTCAGAGTGTGAGGCTCTGACAGTGAAGAAATAGGCTATGATTGCGATGAAAGGTTAGAAATTAGCAAGGATTATATACGAACTATAGGAGAATACAATTGTAGGTGGAGTTCCTACAATATAATCTGAGTTAGATGACACTCTTCTATGGCATATGGGATTGGGGTATATAGGAGAACGTGACATGGTTAAGCT